GAGGGAATGGCCTCAAGCTGCCCAGGGCAGGGTCAGGCTGGCTCTGAGGAAGGATTTCTGTGCAGAAGGGGCTGTTGGGCGTTGGAATGGGCTGCCCAGGGCAGGGGGGAGTCCCCGGGATCCCTGGAGGGGTTGAAGAGTCGGGCTGAGCCAGCGCTGAGGGATCTGGGGGAGTTGGGAACGGTCAGGGTGAGGGTCATGGTTGGGCTGGAGGAGCTTCAAGGGCTTTTCCAACCGAGATGATTTGCTAATTCTGTAAAGGCTGGAGCAAACCACCCCCCTGCTGAGTTTAGGCACACCCCCCACACACACCCCGTGCCCCACCATCCTGACAAACAGACCATGTTTGGGACGCACTCACCAGCAAGCCTGCCGAGCCCACCGTTGCCGAGCCCGGCATCCTCCTCGATTTCCTCCAGCTCTTCCATGTCCAGCCCGAGCTACAGATGAGGAGAAGGCGATGAGCTGGAGGCTCACAGTGTGCCCAGCCCCGCAGAGGGGAGGCCCTGCACCCCTGGGTGCTGCCCTGCGCCCACTGCTGCCATCTCCCCCCTTGCAGGCGGGTTCCAGGAGGGGTGGGAAGGCACCTGACCCTGCAAGACTCATCCCTGCAGGTGGGACACTGCGATTTTCACCCAAAACAGCCCCTCTCCCCCTCCACTGCTGCTCCATGGCACAGCAGGGACCAGCTCTGGTGTTTAAAGACACTCCACCAGCCTTTACAAGGGACACACGCACCCTTGACCTCACCATGGACAAGCTCCTGGGGGTGGGGGGCACAGGGCCGTAACCAGGGCGCTGCTCTTGTGGTCCCAGATATTTCAGACAGGTCTCCCAGAGCTCATTCCTGGGCCTGTTTCCTCTCTCCACGCCCCAGCTCCACGGGGGCAGGCACCACGCTCCTGCTCCCCCATCCCTGCCACCCCCCCTGGCTCCAGGCATCACCCTTAAACAGAGACACCCAGAGAAGCAGCTACACCACTTTAACAAGGAAATTTCAAGTTTCCAGCCTGGGATGCTGTGGGAGGAAGAGATTTTTGCCTATGCAAAGCTCCCCAGGTAGCTCAGCAGGAAATAAGACCGTGCCTCGCCAGGGCTGAGCCACCTTTTCCCAAGGAAACCTCTTGGCCCAATGTCCCATGGCCACAGTGACAGCCCCAGACCCGTGGCCACCCATGCAGGAGGGCCAGACCCTGCACCGCTCACATGTAATGAGGCAGCACCTTCTCCCAAACCAGCCGGGCACAGGTGGGAGCACCGGCACTGGCCGCAGCCTCGCCGGTGTTCCGTGGCACTAGGGCACCGCTCGGAATTCCATCGGCAGCCCTGAAGGCCTACAGAAATATTTCACTTGATTTCTATTACGCCAAACATTTTCTTTTAGAGACATTTGGCATTTGTGTCCAGGGGGGCTCAGCGTAAGGATTTACCTGCCATCGCTGCGAAGAGGATGATTTCCAAATAACCTGGCCCCTTCTGCTTCCCCACGCAGCATCCCAGGCTCTTTCCCTCCACCCTCACCCCCGCTGGCCTGCCAGCCTCTTTGCAAGGTCGACAGATTAAAAATAAAACAACAAAAAAACCACAAGAAAACCTAAAAATAACTTCCTCTCTGAATGCATTTGCTCGAAAGCTGCTCTGGCTGTTGTGCAACCGCACAGGCCATGTATGATGGCGTTGGCCCTGAGGGGTGCAAGCACAGGGCAGGGGAGGAAGGAGCCACCCAAAAAACCTCTGATAACCACACGGTGCCAGTGCCAGGCCAGGGTTGAGTTAGGCCAAGGTTTTATTCCCCTCTGCCACTGATTATAGCTATTAATGGCCTCGTGTATACAACCATGAGCTTCCTTGGGCTTGACCCTCCATCCCAGCAGTGCTCGGCAGCTGCAAACGCCGGCTGCGGCCCCCGGCCTTTCAAAGAGCTGGTTCTGGAGCAGCATTTATCCACTAAGGCATCGCCTGCAGCTCAAGGAGCCGTTTGCAGCCAGTGCAGGAAAACACAAAAATCCCCAGGGGCTGCAGAGCATTGGAGCCCTCCCGGCCCGGGTCTACACTGACGCCCTGGGATGCTCACCTGGTAGATGGCTTCGTCGCAGGCGTTTTGCAGCCCCAGGTTAATCATGGTGTTCTGCAGCGTCCGCCCCATGTAAAACTCCAAGGAGAGGTAGTAAATCCTCTGAAAGAGAAAACCACCCGCCAGTCACTTTCCCCAGGGCTGGACGAGGCTTCTCTGGATGCCAGAAGCTGCTCTCGGGTGTTATCACAAAGCACAAGGGAAAAAAAAAAAAAAAAAAAAAAAAAAAAAAAAAAAAAAAAAAAAAAAAAAAAAGACTTTCAACAGAGCAGGGCGGTTTGCACTGAGGGCTGGAGCTCCTCAGGGCCGTGCCCTGCAGCTCTTGCACTGCTATTTCCCAAGTCAGGAAGAGGGTAACACAGAGCTGGTTTTGTTTAGACAAGCCCTAACGCCCTGTCCGAGAGCAGGGACAGCTCCAGGGTGGTCACCCCAAGCACGCCGGTGGCCGCGGTGGTACAAAGTTAAATTTTAAAGAAGAGATGTTTCCTAATGTCACCCCGAGCTGCAAAACAACCCAAAACCCAAACAAGCACCAGGGCCAGGCGTGTGCAGCAGCCGCAGGGACGCGGGCTTCCTTCCACATCCCTGGGGGGTTCGGTTGGGTCTCAGGACACGAGGGGTGCAGGATGTGGCCGGTAACGCAGAGGCTTGTGTAAGCCATCCCCCGGCGTCAGCACCGGCGGGTTTTAAGGAAGGATTTAGGCCGGAGGAAGTCGCTGACTTAACAGGTTTCCCCAGGACCTGTGTGGGATCGGGCCTGGGGATGGCGATGGGATGCGCCGAGCAGGATCTGTTGGGTTTACTGGTTTGGTGCCAGCAGAGCTGGAAGCAGCGACGGCGGGCGAACGGCACCCAGCATTTTTTTTTTTTTTTTTTTTTTTTTTACCCCCTCACCCCTCCACGACACGGGGAGGGGTGTTGAGCTCTCAGGGGCTGGCACTGTCCCAGGGAGGCCAGGAGCCAGCGGGGCCGTCCAGGTGTCAGGAGGGGATTACAGCTAATCCCCAGCAGCCGGAGCCCCGTGCTCGGTGCCAGCCCACGCTGATGAGCAGCAAACCCAGAAACTCCCGGATAAACCGGGTCTTTCTCGGGACGGCTGTAGCGCCGATTAAACTCGCGCCTCTTTTAAGCCAGACCTGCCTGCGGCTGGCTTTGGGTTGGTTTAAACCCTTGCCTAATTGACCCTAGAAGGCTTTGCAGCTGCTCTCGGCAGACCGCACCCACGCCAGCGCTGCGGGACAACAAACGCGGTTCCCATGCCCTGAGCCCAGCGCCCGGCCAAGCCGCGCTCGGTTTGTTTTGCAAAAGCAGAGGGCAGTGGCCTCGCTTGATAAAGTCCAGTCCCTCCGCTTGCCAAAGCGAAGGGGAAATATCCCTAAACCCTAGAAAAAACACCCCACCACCCCACCCCCTCGCCTCATGTTGTATCTTCCCATCCCGCCTTACAAATTCCCACCCCGGCCCCCACGCAGGACCCATCGGGGTACAGCTGAGGGGGGGCTCTCGCTGCCCTCCGCCCTCTCGCCTGCAAAAAGAGGGGTGTCCCCCCCCTCTCCCAGCAACCCCCCCGCTCCCACCTTGGGGTCCTTCTCGTAGTAGTACTGCTGGGTGCGGATCCAGCGTCCCACCAGGTGGTCCCGCACGGTGTGGGCCAGGGCGAAGTAGTAGTCACGGGGGGTAGCCACGTTGCGGTCCTTGACCAGGGTGAAGTGGAGGTGGCGATTGAAGCCCCGTTTCAGCTCGGCCACGTTCTCGGCCCCCACGATCCCGCGGATGCTGATTTGCTTCCGCCGCTCCTGGTCCGACAGCGGCCGCGACATCCCGGCGGGGCTGCGGGGGACACGGGGGGGACAAACGG